TATTATTCAATATATACCTATATATATTTAGGCATAAAGGTATTAAAAAATATGTAATAAAACAACAAAATAAGACGAATCGACTTAACTTATACTATTTGAACCGAAATGAATATGAAATGATAATAATATTATAATTTTAATTTTATTTAGAATTATGAAAATTATTGTAAGTTTCAACCGACAGTAAGTCATTTCGGTATATTCAGGCGTATTCACGGTGCTTATGATCTATTAATCTATCTGCAATTATCAACGGTTAGGGGATTTTATTTCCATTAAAATCGAACATCATTTTTGAAATAAGTGTATAAAGTACAAAATGTATACTATGTACTTGTGTAAAACATTAATACCTGTTAATTAATGCTTAACTGAATAAGAACATGTTTTTTATAATGTTGAATTTTAAATACTAATTAAATTAATAGCCTACAACGGGGGCCCGAAATTATATCTGTAGCGCGTCTAAATAATGATACGATATAGTTAATAAAAAATACACACTTAAGTCAAAGCGAACAAGTTTAATTATCTACGGTTATATTTTAAAGATGTATACACTGTGTAGGTAATATAATTTAAAGAGCGTATTTATCATATTATGTAGCCATGYAGGYGCATTATSTAATGAATAATATTTCACATTTCACGATTTTTAATTTAAAAATGATCACTTGAACGCACCGTGTGATGCTTCTCGTTTTCTTAGGTACCTAATAAAAAAACTTATAGATTTGTCTCATCTGAATACGATCGCGTAGAACCACCTCATCGCATTGTAAATAAAATAGGCTTAATGATAATATATACTACCTGACTGCGAAACGGGAAAGATTAAATATTAATAAAATGTTTTTTTTTTTTTAAAAAACCATTGCACTAACATAACATTGAAATATAATATTTTGCATGCATATTACGAATATTACAATTTTTAAACGGTACTTAAACGCTCCCTATATTTAGAAGGAAGTATAATAAATTTGTCGAAAAAAAACGGGGGATTATGCAAATTTTATTATGCTTATATATTATAAAATGTAGAAATGGTAACGTACAATAAAATAAATATAAGTACCGTATTTTTACTTTACTTATCACATACATATTAATATATAGATAGATAACGATGTGATTAACATATTAGGTACAATAACGTCTCCGCAGTTGTAGTTAGCGCTACACTCGGACGCAGATGCGTTTTGATTGAACCCGAGACGGCGGAAACTACCTTAGGAAGTAATTGAATTACGGGACAATGATAAGTGTATTAATACTATAGTACAGGGATAAGTGTATCAATACTATAATTTATATTCAAGCAAAGGGTTGGCAATTCGTCATAAATTAAACAAATTAAAAAAAAATCAAATCTTTTTTATTTTGTTTTGATAATTTAACATCAATATATTATTATTTCTCAGACATTATAMTATACATTTATACATTGTATACAGTAAAATATCAATTAAAGGGATGTTATACACTTATATCTGTATAAAAATCATCTTCATTTATCAATATTAGATGGTACGCATATTAGGAATAATAATATTGTAAAATTCCACTACAGAAAATTAAAACTCTGCTTTTCGGTTAGGTTAACTATACATAGGGTTATATTACATTATATTCAAGTGTGTTTGAAAAATCATAATTTAAATAATTTGTAAGATCTTTATATTAAACATTGAATAGAGATTAGAGGGCCTTTAGTATTTTATTTTTTATTTTTTTAAACCTTTTGAAATTTGTATTAGTTTATAACTCTACTGAATTATAGCTGTATAAGTTCCATATTATCAACATATTTTCTTGTAATATAAACTTTTAATCCGAACAGATCAATTAGTAATAMATTTTAAATGTATGTATGTTTCTATAAAAACTTAAATAGTATTCAGCATAAACATTTCAGGATTCGTATCAATTAGAAATACCAAATAGTTAGTACCTATACCTATTAGAGATAATGTATAATGTATATAAGTTTAGAAATAAAAAGTGATTTTCACCTCTGTATTTCTTAACATCAATTTAAAATCATGAACGCGACATAAGTACCTATCATATTATTATTGGTTAGTATAAAACATTTCTGGAATAAAAATATTTGTATTTTTGTGTAATATTCCATTTTATTAGAATAGAGATACTTATCTATACTAAAACAACTGAACCAAATATACTGATTTGGCGTTTGATGAATTTTTGTTTTTGTTGCCGTTGTTATTTTATCATTGCACAGCATTTCTTGGTTTGAAATACTATTACATATTATACGGTATATAGTACCTAGATATATGTGAACTGTTTAACGTCTTTTCAATCCATCCTTAGAGGTTGTTTATGACGTCAATACTTAAGTATTGAAATGTCATCGTCAATATGATTTCATTAATCCTTGTTGCCAAGTGACTTGTAGAAATTTAAATCGTATTATATTTGTGATTGACGTGCTTCTGTACATCAATATCTAGCATATAGCATATACGTAGTTTGGTTAACTTTTTTTAAGGTAATTCAGTAAATTAGTGATCTTATTTTGGATACTAAAAAAAATTAAAATCAGTKCCAGATATTATATTTTTGTTCTAACAGATTGTGAAAAATTTTGTTTTGAAAATTATTTTATGTTATTTAACACGGCGCGAAATTTTTGTAAATTGTAAGCGCAGCCAGATGTAAGCTAACCGGCCACGTTCGTGTATAGTAAATCTTCCTTTTTGTACAATTTATATCGGACAAAATGTAAAAGCGTTTCAGATTAATACTTCCATTAACCAATCAAATTGGTATGTAGTTTTGGTTCAAAGAAGATGCGGGTCAAACAATATTATATGTATAGCCGTATAAGTAAGTGATCGAGTTTGCACGAGAACAAACGCAACGATACACATTAGATGCAATTTTATCATGGTCCATGAATAATAATTATTTATTTTTTTTTTAAACTGTTCAAGGCATCAACTACATGATTATTAGCTGGAGTTTATAATATTAATAATAGCATGAAGCGCTAATATGCATATTTAGGTACATTGTCGGCGTGTTCAATCTCTGACTGATGATACATCGTTACGATTTTTTTTAACATTTCCAATGTAAAATATCAATCAACGCAATTGAGTATAATGCTTTGTATGTTAGACACTCAAGAGAACTTAAGTACCTTCAGTTAGTGAACACTAAAGTGATTAGTGTAAAAAGTAGTTTTTTATAAATTGACCATAAATAACACAAATATATCAATTCAATTTTTCAAAAATATGGTTGTTGGAGAGATTATATAAAATATTTGATATTTTTCAGAATTTGGAATTACACATAGATATTCCCTTTTTCTCTCTCTCTCAAAGAAAAAAAAATATTACGACAAATTGTGATGTGGTTGTAACAGATTTTTTTGTATACATTGCTAAAACGATTATTTTCCCCGTTATTTGTCGAGATTTTGATAAACACAGATAAGTATGGTAGTTAGGTATACCTATAATAAAATAGAGAATTTGTTCTATTATTTTTGAGATGTACCCGTCATATTCCCACGCAAAACTTGCACACGAGTTTTACTTGAATATATTCACGTAAATAAGGTTCTGTTTACCATATTTTTTTAAATAGATGATATTCATCAATGCTTTGAAATTATATACAAATATATTATACATATATACAATTATATATATAAATTATTATACAAAGCTTGTGATGAAGTAAACAAAAAGAGATAACTAAATCTTGTATCTGTCTTCTAGAATGTAAATATCAGTCAGTAACTAATTAATAATTAACTTAATTAATTAATTATATAGGTACCTACACTTATATATCAATTATATATGATATTAGTAATTTCGTGAAATAATAATGATATCCAATAACTGCGGTTAGTGTCATATACCTATACAAAGTGTAATAGAAAGACCTGTCAAAAAAAAAAATTATGCTAATTATACTTATGACAAAAATTGCTAATATTATATGATAAGTAAATAATTTAAGAAATATATTCGTGTCAGTAAATTCTAAAAAATCATATTTTTAAATAAATTATTACGTTCCAAATTAGTTTAACCAAAAAAAAAAATTTAATTTTAAAAAAATTCTAAAAAATAAGTTACTTGACTTAGATAAATCTTTTTACCATCAAAATTGTTCTTATAATCAAATTCAAAAATAGGCTATTTTTAATTTAACCAAAACATTTTTTATCAATTTTTAAGTTTTTTATTTTCAGTACTGAAAAATTAAAAAAAAAAAAATGTTATGTATCGCTAGGATCACTTAATGAACAAAAAATAAATAAATAATTAAAAAATATTAATTTGAACAAAAGTTTTTCCAAAAGTTATCTCTATCTGTTACAGCTTGTATATATTACTATACCGTAATTATGTATTTAAGATTTTAAGACGCTATAGAAATGCATTTCAGTCATTATAACGTCAATATACAACAATATCAAATATTAATTCATGGCCTTAATGTATGATGTGAATTATAATTAATTTATTTATCAAATTACATTTTGTTTTAGTTATTATAATAACAGCTATCTACCTTAAAGTACTGAATTATTCACAACACTACAATACATAATCTTAAACCGGTATTTTGTACTTTTTTATAAATATTTCTTATGGAAAAAATTACCTAATAATAGACTTATTATTTGGTAATTTTTACTAATTATATAGTGTACTTAATTCACAGAGGRAGGGTGAGGGTGTCATGTCCCAACTTCGGCTTATTTTTTTCTTATAAAATATAAGATAAACCAATTAATTTGTATAATATATACCATGATCTGAAAATTGGTAGTCAAAAATGCATATACGCATTTCAATAAAGTTGAGAGCATGCCACTTTAGTACTGTACTCGTATGTGCTCTATTCGATTCAATTTGAAACGATTAAATTTATAATGCATGTATGCATGCGTTTATGTACCCACCTACTTTATATTTTAATATAGTAAGATTTAAATATTTCAGGGAAAATTCGGCACACAAAAACGTAACGTTTAATAGTAACGATACGCTGACGATGACGCCTGTATTTCCATTGACATGGGTGCCGGAACTGAATACTGGAAAAGAAGACGACGTATTGGTATTACCCAACATTGCCCTCCTGGTAAGTATCCATTATAATAATAAAACATTGTTTAACGACACTGATCCATCAGCGATGGTGCAACTGCTGTAGACATAATAAATTAAATTCAAATGTGAACATAGATACCTGTCACAATATGTTCGGTGATCGATTGCTATACGAATGAGTAATCATTTTAAAGCGTGATGAAGTGACGTACCTATACGCAAAGTTGGCCCACCCACTTGGGCGTAGCAATTTGAAATCTTCACCAATATTTTGCTAGTTGTGTAATGAAGTGTTAATTGCAAGAATTTACAAGTTCAATTTTAGGATTTGCGAATTATCCGTAAAAACTAAATCTTCAGACAAAATAAGAATGAGTGGTCCAACTTCGCGTAACGCTGCATCCATGTCGTTCTTAAATGTCGATAAAAATTTTATAAACGGCAATGTAAATCAAAATATTGGTGAAGATTTATAGCCACCAATGTATCATACACCATAACCATAATATCAACCATGACGTGTATGCATACACTGTAGGTACACATTTCGCCCTTACTCTATTTTTAGTGACTTATCTCTGTTATATTATCATAATCATACAGAGAAGCGACTGGAGGGAATTCGATTACAATATTCACAACGATTTTTGATTTCACATTTTTACAGATTCACAATAATTGAAATGCGGTGAATAATATGAATAGTATTATTATACCTAATACATAATAATACCTATTTAGCAAAAAAACAAAGGTATACAAAGATATACTCAAATTTCAACCATATTCCTAAATAAAATTATTTTTCAATATTTTACCATAATATTAATGTTTTCAAAATATTATTTAGTCAATATGATTAAATCTTATATTGACCATTGGCTTTTTAGAATTAATATTAAAATTAGATACCTGTTTAATTTTTTTATGTCACCTGCTATTGATATCGAATTTATAATTTTACATATCTATACATTTATTGAATGCATAAAGCTATAACCAGATGTTAATTATATCATACGGTTGTATCAAATCATGCATTATTGTTATAATTTAAAGCAGGGGTCGGGAACCTTTGTGATATCAAGGACCAAAAAATAAATATAAATTGTTCACGGTCTACAGTGTGAATATATAACTACCTTATTTTATTTTAAATAAAAATGAATATAGTCATATAAATTGTTGCTTAATTAATTTTCAACTGTTGGGTGTATAAATTTAACAAGGTATTTATGTATATTGTATACAAACAATGTTTTAATCCAATGTTTTCATTTCGCACAATATTAGTTCGTGGTTTATTTTTTTTTTTATATATATAATTTCTTATTTTTTATTTTCTATACTAAACATAATTTTTAATTTTGGGTGGAATAAAATTACAATGAAGGCTGTGTGTGGATCCCTGATTTAAAGATTTGGATTTTTAGAGACAAATATTTTTGCTATAATATTTAGAATTATTGTTTTTCGTACAATCACGTTTTCAATTCTAAAATAATGTTTGTAAAATTAATTTTTTCGTTGTGTGTTATAGAGTTTTGCCAGCGTTATGTCAGAAGCCTCTTTGATCACCAGAATGGGTGTCAATCTACTTATTCGCCAAACGAAATCCAAACCATTTGTCAGACAAACGGCTAAAGAGTTCATGTTTGGTTACGAAAGTCCATTAGTGACTATAGGCAATAAGTTTTTGCCATCCTGGATCGCATTTGACAAGCTGGGCCTTATAGACAGAGTAAGTCTTAATATAATTTTCTGTATGAAAAAAATGTTTGTCCAAAATAAAAACTGAGTGAAAAGACTAAAAGTATCATATTATTGTTAAGATCTGAAAATATATAAAATATAGTTTTTAGACAATTATTTTAAACTTACAACAGGTATTAGGTACATAATATGTATATAGGCACTATAATATAACTATGTGTACAAGTAGTTAAAATTTATTGTATTTATAACATTAATATACATCACCTGTCAACTATTAAATTATTTTCATATGACTTTTACAGTCTTACGTTAGTTAAATTTAATATGATTACTGTTAATAAGAYTCGTGAGCATGTGCATGATTTTACCACGAGGTACCATAGCTATTCTGGATAATTATTACGATTTAAGTCATGTTTTTTCCAGTAATATATATATATATTTCACATTTTATAATACTTATAATATGTATACATATTCATATTAATGCATATTTTTCTATTCTTTATTCTGGCACAATTTACGTCTATATACATCGAAAGTCTATCTGTAAAACTGAATTAATACATAAATTAGCTGTTGCATTAAGGCAGTTTTCCATTTATTCGACACATCGCTATAAAGTACGAGTATATCCATTAAAATTTTATTTTGTTGTTAAGATTGTGATAATAATATAGTTGCTATACAAAGTGATTATTTAACAGAAAACGTTTATCTTGAAGTATTAACGTTTTTTAAAATATTTCATTTCATACAATTTGGATTTGAATTCATTACCAAGCAATGTTTTTTGAAAAACATGCTTTACTGTTTTTCATCATTATTATAAGGTATTTTTACATTTTTCAAAGACAAAATAAATTTTTTATTTTTAATATACTAGAGCAGAATATTTTTTTGAACATTTTTATGTATACTATTTGAATTTCAAACTATTTATTAGTGTTTAGTTATAACATGCAAGCATTTCGCATATGAAGGAGCAACATTTAGACTTTAAAAACTTATGTTTATGACTAATCATTTAATCACTACCTACTTTTTATAAATTTAAATTTTATTTTAATAATTATCTGGGGTTAATAGAGCACTATAATGAGGTGTTTTTATAAATTTGGTTTATATATACTTAATAATTGTATATTTAAAATATACTTTACTATTTGACAGATATGGCTATCAATAATTGTATTGCTGAGTTCGCTCGCGTTGATKGTCAGTATCGAACTGCCTGCCGTGTGTCTTTTTATAAGCGCATATAGGTAGAAAAATGTTGAGTATGTATATTTTGTATTGGTCAATCATATAGTGTGTGTTAAGTTTAGGTATAATATTTTTATATACATATATTTATATATATATATAGGGTGTAACGACCGTTACAACATCTTTCTTAAAAATGTATGCTACATATTCTTTCAAATAAATGAAATGTTTAATGATGGTATAATGATAAACAATACATATACCTAATATTAAAATTAAAATTAAAATTGAGTAATCGTATAGCATAAAATTGTTTCCGTAATTATGGGTTAATACACTAAAATGAATTACTCTGTATAATCGATGTTCAAATTCTAGGTGTGTTCAAAATGAAACCCGTTACGCGGATCTGAAAATTGCATAATCATTTGTTTTTTTATGTCTATTCTCTATTCAAGTGTGTATGTGGTCTGACGTTTCTTCGCCTCTTCCGAATTAAAAACGCACGGCATACCTACGTGTTTATGTGTAGGTACCATAGGGTGTATGTTTTCAAATCGGCATGACCGTGCAGTTAGTTACCATAGGTACAGAAAATTGTATCCGAAGTTTGGATCATTCAAACTATGTGGTTTATAATACATAAATTATGTATTAAATTATAGTAAGACTCGAGCTAATGCTAATACACCTATAAAATAATGACCAATGATTAGATATTACAAAGAATCTTGGTTATTGTTCCATCCACAGTTGACCTCGATTTTTAAAACATGATTATTAATCATAATTCAAAAAAAATCTCTTGGTTGTGGTAAAAATATTATTTTGAATTTAATTGTTTGTTGATGAAAAAAATTACACACGCTCGTGTACGAAGCATTGGTATAATAGATAGTATAATATATTATTATACCAACTTACACATCGAATTAATTATTCAAATAATGGTTATTTTTTATGAATAAAAATACAGTATTTGACAAAATGGTAAACAAAATAAGTAAGGGTATATTAATATGTACACACCAAAAAAACAGGCAATCATATTTTGATAATTTCGTGAGATTTCCTACAACTATAAATACAATTAAATGAATTTTAATAAGGGAGTACACAAAACAATACATACATTAAAGTAAAAAATAAATATTTTATACCATTCTGTTGTAAATAACAAGATGTCAAGATACCTCCGTCTTCTCGTATACGAGCGTAAATAATAAACTATATGATTTTTAACAATATCTTTGAAATTTAATAATTTAAAAAAATCTACTCATTCCCTATCATGAATAAAACAAAAAATAGCCTTAAGCATTCATACAAATTAGAATATATCTACCAATAGGATGAGGATGGATATAATTCAATATATAGTTACGTTATTATTTTATAAACAGCATTTTATATACACTTCTTATTAAACTTATGTGGAAAAATAATAATATTTTCTAAAAGATTATTGGCTTTGTTCGTTGCACAAATATAACTCGAACTAKTCGAAATCTGTCATCTGATATAAATCGCTATTCCTTTAATTACTTATGTATTTTAAATTATTTTAAATTTCAATACCTACTTCCTAGTTTCGAAAATAAAATAAGAACATAACGACTAAATACTTCAGCATTTATACCTTGGCACGTATTGACAAATAAATAATAAAATGTATAATGAATTATAGTATGATGATTTAAAGCACTTTCCACGGAATTAAAATATAGGTATTAACAAAATACAAAGTGCACCCCGCATTGTATCAAAAGTTAAACTAGTTTTTTCATTTTAATAATAATGTGACTGTGTATATTATTATCGTCATTTTTCGGTAGGTGACCGTTGTGATAGGTACATTAAATAGGTACATATGTAATAATAACAAGTATTTGTCAAGTTCTCAGGTGAGTAAATCACTGATTTAAATTTATTTAAGTTGTTAGGCATTGTGCTATGGAGGGTAAACACTAAACGATAACATCATATTCATTTTTATTTCGATAAACGTGGTTAATTCGATTGAATAATTTATTATAAATCATCGTTTTAATGTAGGTAACTCATAAAGTCATAATAAATCTCATTTTTTTTTTCATAACTATCTTAAATGACAAATAAAAGATCAACATTTTTAGTAGGTGTATTATTATGTCGATATTTATTTTACTTGAACAAGAATACATGTTTTACTAAAAATCACAATTGTTGATTTTTGCTGCTTAATTCAACACGAAATACGAATGATGTTGCTTAAGATGTGGTATTTTGCGAAATATTTCATTTTAATGCATCACTATACGATTTGTACACTCGATTGAGCTTTTTAGATTTCTATGCGAAGTATATTAAATCATATACATATAAACACATAATCTATAATAAATACTTACTAGCAGTATCCGTGCTGGTTAGGACATATTAGCCATATGTTTTTTTGTTTTTTTTACATGCTGAACACTTAACACTTGTTATTTATTGTACCTATATTAATACCTATATTATTCAATGGTAATATAATGTTAACAGATAATTATGTTGCTTTTATTAAAAAATATTAAAATATTAATTGAAAATAGTAAATACTTATCTAAAATTAAGCATTTAAGCCGTGATCAAATGTATGGGAAAATTGAATTAAATAATATTATTTTGATGTTCACCAGTCGACCACCTTTTCATTACTATTGTAATAATATAGGTATTTTGATTTCTAATTACTATTTTAACATGTAGGTATCTATAACCATACTATACTATTTTCTTCAATTACGGGATTACGTATATTATAAACCAGGAACTTTATAAGATGCTGAAAGCTCGAGGAGTGCGTATTTCCTAACTTAATCTATAAGCTAGTAATCGKTTTCAACTTAATATGTGGGTATACACGGCCGAAAGACCGCCATTAAAGCTGTTATCTAATGCATAGGTACGATATATGATATTATGTTTTACATGGACATTATTTTATTATTTTCTTTTCTTTCTTCTATTACCACTTGAAGTGACGGTTGTTCTACTGTTTTGTGTCACTGCAGATGTACGACTTCACTGGCGACAGCGCAACGATATACACAGGATCAAGCGATGTGTCCAARTCCGGGACCATAGAGAACTACAACAGGAGACCATATCTGCCGCAATGGCCAGCTGCCCCTTGCAACAAGGTGACGGGTGCTTCGGATGGTACTAAGTTTCCATCAGTGTCAGAAAATGGCACACAAATGATGTTCTTCAGGAAGTCTCTTTGCAGAGCAATTCCKATGGTACGTTGTACGGTGCGCGTATTACTACAAACCCAGTGGCGTATTTAAGGTTTTTCCTCCTCTAAGCACTTTCCAATTCGCCGCCTTCATCCTTCCTACAATTATTTATAAAACATATTTAAATATACAATTTATTATATTAAAAAAGATACATTGARATACATGTAGATAGATGATTAATTTTGAGCGAACAAAAATTAGCTGAGTTTCATTTCATCAAATGAAAAATACTTTTTATAATTTTGTAAAAAAAAAATTGTTGAAATTTTTCGCCCTCCGATGTTGCCGCTCTAGGCCCGAGCCTACAGGGCCTGCACTAAATATACGCCTCTGCCAAACCACATGTTTCGTTTGACCTCACGGGGACGCTGAAAAACTTAATTTTTTTTTTTAAATATAAATTATTTGTTGCTAAAACCACTCGAGCTAAAATTCTCAACAAGTATGCTAATGACATTAGATAATTTCTAGGTTATTTTGTATTCGATTTTTTCTTAAAATTTCAATAAAATTCACCATATCTTACCTCTTAAGAAGTTATTGATTATTATCCTCTTAACAAAACCATTCCATTTTCACTGGTAMATTGTGAATTCRACATTTTAGAGTTTTCGTTTAGTTTTTACGAATCGATAGAATGATGTGTTACCAGCACAAAACGCAAGATCAACATGGATATAACACCCATTTTTATTTTTACAATCGATTTTAGGTGAAAACGGGTAAACTGTTTTTGCACGATGGCTTGCCAGTGAACAAGTATATYTTCGAAAATGGATCATTGGACAACGGTGCTGAGAACCCGGCTAATAAATGTTTTTGTCGTAAAAACAAATGTTTGAAACCGGGACTGATCGATGTCACTGACTGTTATTATGGTAAGATTATTAAATTCCGTATAATTCTGAGTTCATACCTTGGTTGTATATATTGTTACCATGATACTGCAATGATATACATTCATAAACATATTTTGATCGCAATGCCGCCGTTATAAGAAATTGTTTTAAAGTTCAAATTTTTTTGGTTTTATATTAAGGTTTTCCTATCGCATTATCTTACCCTCACTTTTACCAGTCCGACCAATCTATATTGGATGCCATTGAAGGAATGACTCCTGATCAAAAACAGCATGAAACCTATTTTCTCATCAACCCGGTAAGATGATAATAATTATTATAAATATTTTAAAATATATAATATTACGATGATTAATATTCCACATTGTCATTGAGCGTTTTCCAGAGATCGAAAATYAAACGCATAATCACAATCTATTATATTATTTACTAACYATTGTTTGTGTTTATATAGGAAACGGGTATGCCCACACAACTGTACGTCAGAATGCAAATTAACATTGCTCTAGGTGACATATCGGACATGGCAAACACGGAACATTGTAGCAACTTGGTTATACCATTAGTTTGGACAGAGATTGTAAGTACCAACCCATTTATTTAGTTCACAATATTATTCTGTTACTATTTATTATGACTACGCATAATAATAAGGCAACGTAAAATGTAGTAAACAAAACGAATATAATATAATTTTTGCTAGCTCGAATATTTATGCCTTTTGGAGTATTTATTATTAGTACAAAGCACTAAATAATTTGTAGAAATAAGTCATACGGACGTTTCACAAAAAAAATAAATAAAATAATATTGCAATATAAAACAAACGATATTAAATAATATATTTTATTTAATCTGATGCAAATATTGAAATAAACGATTACTTTTAATAGGTTCACAATGCTAAATTTAAATTCTTATAAAAATAATAAGCTCCAATAATTGACTAAGGTTATCATCTCGATGACACTAATGAGGTTAACTCGCATGATTTTCCCGCAATTCTAATAAATGAAAAACCTTAATAATCTAACACTGAAAATAGGTCAATACGAACAAGTCAATACAAATAATTAATTAACCCAGTTTGAAATCTAATCGAAAATCGGCCGTTATAACTTAAGTTGAAGTTCTTCTCTAACAATCCCTTGTATTCTGTACATTATTTTATCAATATAATTTTATATTTATTTTATGAATATCAACATTAATTCATCCAGGCACTTTTGGGTTATCACTCCAACTTGATTACAAACGRGTGGTAAAAATATTTTTATTATTGTTCACTGGTCAGTCATGCATGCTGGCGATTATATTAGCACAAAATAGATTAWATTTATTTTTAGTAACAACTATTTAACTATTATAGTAAACATGARACTTTCAGTATTTAGACATTGTAAAGTTAAAGACGTAATCATCGTCATTTGTAGGAAAATATAAATAGTAAATTCCTTCAATTGAAAATAAAATTCATATTTCATTATTCCTTAAATTATTGAAAACCGTCCACAATGAATTTAAAAACAATTCCGTACTGATATCGTGTTATTCAAAGCYGCCCGCAATGTRGGCCGGGGAGGGCCACGCCACCCGCTAATTTAGATAATACCTAATTTTTATTACATTTATTTGCATTTTATATAGCAGTCTTGGAGGGCGATAAGGAAGGAGATAACTGATAGGTGACACAAAATTGTTCGTCAGTTTTCAATATCACTAGGTATTCGGTATTTGGTTTATTTGTATATATTAGAAGAAGATCTTATTTGGTACAGTAATTGAAGTGAAAAAGAAATTAAAGATAATACAGATTTTCTTGAACTTTTAAATGAAACAACATTTTTCCCATCAATAAAAAATTTTATTTTAATAGCAATAACCCTTCCATCAMYTACTTGTAGTATTGAAAGGTCATTTAGGTATGTATAATTTTATTAATATGATTTTATAGTRCTTCTTCTTTGACATTTTTGTTTTTGCTTTATATTATAGCATCCATAAAAAATTRAAAACTTGGCTTCGTAGTAGTATGACACAACTCTGTTTGAATGGTTTAGCACTTTTGTACATTCATAGTGATATTTAAAAAAGTCAATAATCTGACATTGTTGAAAATATACCTAACCTATATTGAGCTTTTCTGCATGGAACCACGGCGTGTTCAATTTTTATTTGACGATAATGATCAATGATGAATGAGTCATGAATTATTTATTATTAATTATTTTTTTTCATTTATTATTATACAGGCTTATTTATAACAACAACATAATATTATACATTTATATATGTATATGTATATACTATACTTACTATATAGTAAATAAATCATTTTTTTTACGATGTGATAAAAAAAACAGAATTATGGTAAGTGTTAAAAAATCCCCTAGCTATAAAAATCCCCCCCTCGAGAAAAACTTCTGCGGGCAGCCTTGATAWTWTTACCATTTTATAACTATGCACTAACTAACCAGTCAAAATTTATTATGAACTAATAAGACATTATTTATGTGCCCCGGCCCAAGCGTCTTCTCGGAGGATAACAAGCGTATACCCTGCATACCCGGTGCACACACCTATGGTAAAGTGTACCTACAAGTCCTACTACTTTTTGTCAAAAAAAAAAAATGATAATAATAATAATAATAAAACCTTTTCAAATTGTTAAAATATTAAAAATTAATATCCGGTACAATGACAAAGTAAATAATAAAAATTTTGTAACAAAAAATTGCTTTTTGATCGTGACTTGAAAAAAAATAAACTTATATTACTCAAATATTTATACAAAACGTTTAAATCAATAATTTCACACTGTACCCATATATTGTATTACATACATACATACATACATCGTGAAATATATAAAAATACAATGTGATTGGCCTTCAAAAAAACTCRATAAAACGATAAACAAAAAAACAATCCGTAATATRTATAACACTAAAAATKTATGTGGGATACCCTTCACTTTTAWTAACTTAATTTATTTTTTTTTAAGATAAGGGACATTTCAAAATTTTTACTTGATTGCTGAAAACAAAGGAAACTTCTATATAGGTAGTGTACTTTAACACATAAAATCCGACGAAAAAAATATTGGACATAGGAACAATTTTCAAACTCGCTCTCGTTTGCTGAAATTGTATGGAATTAAACTTATT